ATTAATTGATTCGACCCAATATATATATTTTTAATATTTTTAGTGCAATTTTTTATTGGACAAGTATGTTTATTGTGACGCAACTATTTTTTGATCATCATTTAACTCAAAATCAATTTATAGTCTCGGAACCCACTTTTAATAGCAAAGCCCCCATATGCTGACTGACCAGAGATGTGAGTTCTTATTATTAAATAATCAAGATCAAAATGTTGAAATAATTTGTAATATTTATATATATTTTTTAGATATTAAATGTTTTTATCTGATTCTCCATCAACAAGAAGAATCTAAACTGGTTTAATTTTATCATTATTTTTAAAAATACTGACAAATGATTTTTAACAAGTAAGTGAAATTAAATCTACTATATGTATATTTGCATTTGTACCTATATTATATTGTGGATGAATAAAAATACCTAATTGATTATGACAAAGTATATTATTTGAATTTGAAGAATCAATAGTAATGTAAACAGATGAAATTAATTTCTGTTAAGCTCTAGTTGAAAAATCATGATCTACAACTGAAATAGCTTCTTCAATCAATATTTCTTTTTTTGAATTGATTGTATTATTTGAAATGTCCTACCAATAACAGAAATATTAAAAGGAACTTTTGCTTTATTATCTTATAAGATGAAAATAGAATAGGAAGAAAATAATGTAGCAAATTGTTTTACTCCTTTAACAAAAGCAAAGATAATAATGCTCATTTATATGCTCTTTTTTCTATTCTAGAAATACCTGTGACTACTGCTAAACTTGAAGACTATTAGCATTCTTAGTTCTGACTGTATTTATATAAAATACATTATAGAAGGCAATCAAAATTATCTGATCATTTTTCAAACTAAAAAAAAAATTGAATATAAATAATATATTAATAAATAAATTTTAAATAAATATATGAGATAATTTATATGTAGCATATGTGATGCTATCACACTATTACTGCAGTTATTACACATATACTTTATTATTTATTGTCGTATAACCTTAATATGATGTAATTTTTTTGTTAAATAAATACATTGTTTCCATGTAATCTTAATATGATATAATTTTTTTTTGAATAAATATGTCGTCTTCTTTTAATCTTTCCTATGTTTAATATATTTTTATACATTACTCATTTTACAACTCTTTTATAATGTTTCACATCTCAAAAAAATGGAAATTAGTTCAAACTATTCTCAAGATAAAAAATATGTGTGTTGGTTTAAATACTTTAATATTCTAACAATTTCTCTTTACTTTTTTTACTTTTTCAGTTGAGAATGAATTTCATGAACTTGAAGATAACTTAGGTTAGTATAAGGGTTATGTTCTGTATTTTATTAAAAAAACTTGTGCTAATGCATATTATAACCATATAGAAATTATAGACAATAAAGAAAGAGATGGGATCAAAACTTTTCCTACTGGATCTATTTTTAGGTCAGATTTGAAAGAGTTAGATTATACTCAATATCCTTTGCTAATCTCACCTATAGAACTATATGTTGGGATTAAATTTCATTCTTAGGACATTGCTGAGTATTATTTGAAAGAATATGAAAGGCAGAAGGGTTTTGTGGTTAACTGTTATAAAGTTAAATATCATAAGAATCTGTTATTAGATTCTATTGAGCGGGTTAAAAAAAGAATATTAACTTGTGAAAAGGCTGAAAAGTCTAAGCCTAACAAGGCGAAACCCATTAGTCAACAACATAATAAAGGTTCTAAAAAAACAGATTGTAAATAGCATGTCAATTTGAGTAATCCTAAAGATACTGATAATGTACACATAACCTTTGCTTATCTCGAACATAATCATACTATTAATGCTGATAATGTAAAATTTGCTTCAACTTTTTGAAAGTTTAATGAAGCTGTGATGTCTGAAATAGAACATGCCACTGTATATGGATATTGTGATGCACATACTATAAGAAATTTGCTACAACTTCTCTTTTCTAACCAACTTTTTCTTACCCAAGATTTATCCAATGCAATTCAGAAATCAAACATAAAAAAAAGATTGTTAGATCAGATGCTTCTCAATTATTGAATTTTCTTCTTAATAAACAAAAAGAAGAACCCATAATATTTATACAGCCTTTAATTAATCAGGATAGTGATAGATTAAGTGGTATATTTTGGATGTTAGCAAATCAAATCATATTATGATCACGCTATTCAGATGTTATCTTACATGATAATACAGCAAGGACTAACAAATATAATTATCCTTTATCACTTTTTATTCTTATTAATTATAATGGTAAATTACGTATAGATGTATAAGCATTTTTAAATGATGAAATTCAAGAAAGTTATGAATGGATTTTACAACAGAAATTAAATACAACTAAATGCAACAGGTATTGAACCACAGGTTATATTAATAGATATAGATCTAGCAATAGATGTAGCATGTCAATCTATATACAAAAATACATATCATATTTATTGTATATGGCATTTATCTCAAAATTTAATTAAACGTCTCAAATCTAAGCTTGGAGTTGCAACTTTTAAAATATTTATTAATGATTTCTGGAAAGTATGAAATTTATTATGTATAGATATATTTGAGTAAAGATTTCAAGTTTTATTTGATAAATATCCTAGTGTTAATGAATATTTATATGGTACAATTTATTCATCTTATCAATCATGGGCTCGACTATTTATTAATTGAATATTTATAGTTAGCATGCAATCTACACAATATGTTGAATCAATTAATTCAGTTATTCATAAGGCAGTAGTGTCTAGTTCCACTATGTTTGATGTAATTGAGGCTATAGATATTTAAATGCAAAAAAAAGTTTTAAACAAAAGTTTTTAGCATGAAAGTATAAATCAATAGCGTATCATCAGCCATTTGTTGTGGAAACTTTCTTCAGCAAACTTAACAATATTATACAAAGCATTTATCATCATATATCATTGAAGAAATTCATAAGCAAATGTGTGAATTGGTACTTTATAAATGTGACAAATTAGAGATTAATAATGCCTTTGAATTTAAAGATGATAAATTGGTATGTATAAAGATTATTTAAGCGAATTAATTTAGCATTAGAATTAGGGTTAGGATTAGAGTATGACATTAGAGTGTGATATTAGAGTTTAGGATTAGGGTATGGAATTAGGATATGGGATTAGGATTAGGATTAGGATTTGGGATTAGGGTGAAATTTAGGGTTAAGGTTAGTTTAGATTTAGCTAACATTATTATATTATATTTAGGATCAAATAATAGATAATGATGAATCTAGCATCCATAAAGATGATGAGATTAATATTACTGAAGAATATTATGATTTTCATCAATCATATTTAAATGCATTTTTCAAGAGAATTTATTAAGAAAGTGTGATGAATAGTTTCTTATATTGCACCAAAATCATATCAATATATTATAATTCTTAATGATGATACCCATTTGTGTACATACTTATTGTTAATTTCTCATGGAATTATCTGTCGTCACTACTTTAAATTAATGGTTAAAAATCAGAATGCTTTATTTTACATTATGTTAATGCCATCAAGATAGTTACAAGATGATATGTGGAAAAATATTGATTCTTTATACTGCGAATCATTTATTAATACATTATCTCAACATATTTCTGCTACTAATAATGAACAAGTACTTATGCCTAGGTATTATAATAATATTCAGGAAGTTCAGGTTCAGTATCAAGTGCAAAAAAAAATGAATTATGGTAAAATAATGGGTCATTTTAAACAAGCACTAAATTATTCATTAGATAATGATGATGAGAATAATTTAGATGATCTTATATTATTTTATATTGCTAAAAAGGTTGAAGAACGTGAAGCTAAAGATCATTCTACCATTACTGAAGTATTTTATCCTTTAAATAATACTGTGAAGTTGCATAATGGGTGGGTTTATAATGTAAATAATATTAAAGATCTAACTGTTCGTCGTGGTAAAGTTAGGCCTCCTAATAAATGATTGAAAACTTTTAATGAGATATATAATAAAGTAGAGGATACTAGCAATAGTTAAATGGTTAATATTAGTTGTGAAGAAATAGAAAATGAAGTTGAAAGGCGTAGATGTGATTTATGTCATAAAATAGAATATTATGCTCCTAAATGTCCTAATAAGGAAAATGCAAATGTAAACAGTTAATGGTTTGTGATTTATTATAATGATAATGTATTATTATATAATAATAAAGTAAAAGTGATTTAATTTAATATTTGTAGCAGATGTAATAAATAAATTTACTATAAATATATTTATATTAACTTTATTATTAAAAATTACAAAAAAATTAAAAAGTTAATCATTTAATTCTATTTTTATTTGCTACCTTAATTCTTCAGAATATAATTTTAATCAATTTTTATAATATTTTGATAGTATATAATTTAACTTTAATATTAAAATATGATAATGATTGCTAAACCTATAGATAGGGTTGGAAATTTTATATGTACTAGATAAAATTAATACTATACTTGTATTGTATTTGTACTAATTTTTATATTAATTATTATAGTGTACTAACTGTATTAATTATACTAATCATTGTACTAATATTGTACTTTCTAATCCTGCTTATGAATAGATCTATCTAGATATCTATCAGATACAAGATATTCAGATTTTTACAGATATTAAATAATATGTAAAAAGATTCAGATATCTCTAAAGACTTATCTTTTTATTTACAATTGGATAATAATAGATAGAAAGGATTTAACCACTTATTTGGAACTTGTTTTATCATAATTTTAAATAAATAAAAATGTGTTTTATATTATATTAGCATGTAATACTTTGCATAATTTTGGTCAAAACAAATTAGTTGGATAATTTTAATCACTTTCTATATAAAAAAATAAAACTGATATATTATATATATCTAATTTATTATATATGATGAATATATCTAATATGTCAACTATGTTTAATAAATCAACTATTTCTAATATATTGATCATATCAGATATGTTATATATATCAGAAATGTTAAATATGTCAGATTTGTGTTAAATTGGTTGATCATTTGCATCACCTATACTATGTAATATTTATCCATTTACAGTAGATCAGTAAATTGCACAAAATTGGTATCAATAATTGAACTTCAAATTTTTATTAAATATGTTTCAAAGTTTAAAGATTTAAATAAATATAAAATCATATTTCTAGCATTCGTGTTGATAAGTTATAAACTTTAAAAATCAATTATATTTATATATAATAAATTAGCCAATTAAATTAAATATTTCAATAGATTTATAAATCCATTAGACTTTTCTAATAACCAAGATTTATTAGATCCATTTGACCATTAGGCCAATCCTATTTTATATATACTATATAATTAAATTTAATTTTATTTAATTCTTTATGCCTATAAAATTTATATTTTTTTATAATATATTTAGCTAATTTTTCTTCAATTCACTTATAATAAACCATCATACTTTTCTTAAAAATTTTTTATTGTAATTAAATTAATAGAATCTAAACTTAAATAATTGTTTTTTACAAGCCTGCCTAGAATTTTCATGTGTAACTTTCCAATATATTTAATAAATTTAACTCACAGTGAAATTTAGGATAAAAATATATTTGTGATCTGCTGTTATTATATAATACATCTTTTAAGCTATAAAATCTGATTCTAAAAATATAATTCATCCTGCAATAATTAGTCTAATTTGTATCTTTATTTCCTATTTTATATAGCTGAAAATCTATGTTTAAATTAACTTTTCATTTTCTTCTTTCTAAAAGTATTTGTTTTATTCCTTTAGATTTTTCATATAATTTTTTATTAAAATAATCATTTGAATAACACATACCTGGATAATTATTTTCACCTCAAATTGTACTTTGTATTATTGGTTGCTTTTTTACCTGAAAAAATTTCTTACTATAAAAGTATCCAATAAAAAATGCAGTATAATTTGAACTATAATAAATGCAAATATAGCAATACAATTAGGAAATAAGGCTTCAATTTCCTTCCTAAGTAAACTTGTAGAGAAGACAAAAATTGCATATAAGATGCGATTTTAGAATTTATGTAGTATCTTTACTAAGTCTTGTTCAAAAAAAATAAAATCAAATTTTTTTTCGTTAAAATGTATTACCTATTTTTGGAAATGATCAGTAAATTCAGTTCACATGGCGGTGATTTTTTGGTATAACCATATAAAGGAAACGGAAAACCGTTGTTATAGTCCAGAACACAAATTTTGAGCGAGACATCGATCATTAAATGTCTGTACATATATTTCGTTCCGGACTTATTAGTTTTTTGGCGAGCCAGATTTCTAAAATATCCGATTTGATTTGCCATCAATTAAGTTACCGTATAATTATTGAAAAATTTACTTTTAAACAATTTCGAAAACAATATGATATCTTGTTTGCAGTTTTCACAAATTCTTTTCTTTCTATTTTTTTTACAATTTGATGTTAAAATATTATAAAAGAAATATATTTTCTTTTCTCCTTTATCGATCCATCCAAAGTTTATCTTTCAAAATGTTTATTTTTATTTAACAATGAGATTTAGGTTTTCGAGGATCTTAATAAGGTTTAAAGCTTAAAGTTTAGAAGCATTTCTGTGGCATCTTTGTTATCAGACTTAGGGTAACGGTTTGATGACATTAATGCAGAATACCCCCGTGAATAGTTAATCTGGCCCAAGAGTTGTTTATCATCAAATTTTGTTGGGTCACATGAACTTCTTCTTCAGGTACTCAGGTTTATCTTTGTATTTTATTCATTGTTATTAATTACAGTTTCCCTCTCCTGCCCCATATATTCTTATTACTTTCCTCAAACCTTCATTTTTATCTAATAGGTGGCGGAATTTTCATTTCAAAAATGCGTCGTTTAAGGTTAATTATAATGAATGTGCAGAGTGATTATAATGATATGACTATGGAATTTAGCTATTATTTAATATAAGGGAAGTATCTTTTTCTTTTCCCCTTTAATGATTCCTTCCCTTATTTATTCTTCCTTGTAAGATTATAAACGTATTTGAGGTGCAGAACGGAAACTTCGCTATATCGGGAGCTGACTGTATATTCATTCACCCAATGTTAAAAAAGCCTCTATCAAGGTTTTCGAAGATTAAGTTCTTGTGATTTAATTGCTTATATTAACTAGTTGATCTTTAAGTGGAAATAGTGCCATTGAATCATCTGCTTGCAGAAAATTTATTACAAAGCAAAATGGAAATGCTGAAAGAGCCGATGATATTGCGTACATCCCAAGTTAATGTTTCGGGCGAAACTAGTTTCGCTCCGTTTGATCTACAAGTATTCTCAAATTAAGGTTTCGGATAGTTCCGGACATATAAGGTGAAACTTAAAAGTTCAATAGGCGAAAAGTTTCAGATTTGAGATATGATTTCACAGGAATAAGATTATTTCCTGTTCTTATTCGCACTGCGATCACATGGTCTGTAAGTTATAAATAAACTTTTACACTATATAATCTTTAGTTATTGATTGACAATACAGATAAAGGAATTTCAAGAATCAAAAGAAGTTCAAGAATTAGTAATTTATAGTAACTTCTCGGGTTATCAGAGATTTCTTCACAGTTCATGTTAAGCAATGCATGATTGGATATTTTGCATTTCGTGGCAAATATCCATCATTTAAATGCATTGTTAATAGTAACTGTGAAGTTATCGGATATTACCCGTAAGTTACGGTATAACTATCTGGTTCGGATAATTAAACTTTTGCTGTTGCAAATAACTCCTCGGCCAAAGTATAATTATCATGTGTGGCCGTATAATTATGCACATAATTTACTAATTCTTATACAATTAACGATCAGGTAATAAGAAGAGTTTAAAAATGAAAAATGTTATTGAATGAATTATTCATAGAATAGATTTTTGATTTCTTGTTAACGTCTTATTATGTTATTATTGCGTACGTTGCGTCATCTATGGGATTATAATCCAAATAGTGTCATCTAAAAAAGCAGAATTAGGGACGATAACTATTTAAAGTATTACGATGCATAAACCTTCAAAGTATTATATTACGTAAAATTCAATATTTTACGTTATATAAATCTGTCTATGGGGTAGAATAAAAAAAAATTTTCTTTGAATCTTTTTCTTACTTATTATATATGAAGCTTGTTTCGTGTATAAAAATATTATATACACGAAAACGAATATTTTGACAGTGGTATGAATCCAATTAAAATGTTTATTCCTTTTTATAACGAAAACTGATTTTACACAAAACAAATGAAAAAGGAATTAAAATGATCCACCAAAAATAATAAAACTATACTTAAAAAAAAAAAAAAATTCGAATACATTTTTACTACTCTAAACGATACATATCAAATAAATATATCTTACTATTAGAACTTTTCATCTTGTGTGTTTTAATGCTTTATACATGAATGTTTATTGACTATCATCCATTGATGAATCATTTGGAGGTACAAAAGGTTTAACTAACATTTCAGAAAATTCTTTAATATCTTGTGTACCACGTATTTCTTTTGTTAAAAGAGGCATTAGTACAATATGGAAATCTTCGTAAAGATCATAGATTTGATCCAAGTATTTTTGCTGCATCTTATGTCGAACTAAACATTGTTCACAATTGGAATCTAAAAAAAAACCCCCCCAAATTAAAAATTAAAAATTAATCTCTTATTTTTTTTTTAAAAAAAAATCGATTGAAGCATAAATTAGATTCATACCTTTCCGCGGGAATAATAATTGATTTACAACGATATTATGAGTATCAATTTGATATGAAGTCAATTCCTGAATCATACGTTCGGTTTCATAAAGAGATAAGAATTCGGAAATGCATACACAGATGAATGTCGTTTTATCCTATATATAAAGGAACTAATAAATATAAACCTAATTTTGATAATTTGACTCCATATATTCAAAGAAAATATAAAACCCACTGGATCTTTGAATTGATTATTGACTTCCGTAATAATGGCACGCATCCCTTCAAGTTTTCCAAACATATCTTCTTGATTGGCATTCAATCCCATCATGCCTGACATCTATTATCCGTAAATAATTTACAAAATAATTATTATTACACTATTCCTTTTTTTTTTTTATTAAAAAAAAAGGTAAAGAATTATTCATATTTGTCATATAATTTCTAATTAATCAACCTTACTTGTTGAAAAACTGGCCCAAACCGTCCACTCAATTGCGAAATCTTTGCCAATGCTTTTTCCAAAACACTGGGAAAGCTTAAAAACCGCAAAGTGTGTCCAGTGGGCGCAGTATCAAAGATAATTACTGAATATTCCATTGTTTTTACTTGCCTGTAAGATTGAGAGTTAAAAATCATGATGAGAGAGAGAAAAAAGGTTTTACAAAAGAAATCATTAATAAATATCAAATATTTACTTCATAACCTCAGCAAATCCCATAGCTTCGTCAACGCCGGGAATGGCGAATGCAAGATCTTGCATCATAGCTCCCATAGCGCCACCTCCTTGTTGTTCAGCTAAATATTAAAACGAACCCGATATTATTAAATCAATAACGCGAATAAACTCATTTGAATACTATGATAACAAATGAAACATATATGTACATTGATCCAGCATCTCTTGAATTGATGATGTAGGATCGATCTCCTGCAATCATTAAATATAAAAAAGATGAGTAATGTAGCTTTCAAAATTTACAAATTAATGATTTCAATGAGAAAGTTCATATTACCATTGCGAACAAATTTGTAAATCCGTCCACTAATGTTGCCTCCTTACTAAATTTTTGCCCAAAGGCATCGCTAAGGTTATGCGCTGGATCAGTTGATATTAATAAAACAGATTCTCTTACTTTACTCAATTGAACAGCGAGTGAACATGAGGTGGTCGTTTTACCTAAAACGAAAAGGAAAAAAAAGAAAAAGCGATCGGAAAAACAGAGAGAATTGTGAGTTATGTTATTATTTTTTTTATGTAAAATAACAGCTTTGAGGAACATAACAATTGATAAAGTTCTTTACCAACACCACCCTTTCCACCAACGAATATCCAGTGTAAAGATTTTTGTTCCAACACATTTTGTAAGGTAGGATCGAGATTTTCTAATTCTTCATCAGAAGACGTCATGTTGATCAATTTATTAGAAAGATGCTTAGAATTTTGAAGAGCAAGTGATTTCAAAAAAAAAATGTCTAAGGTTTGTAGTGACTGCGGGGTTGTAAGTTTGAAAATTGATAAATTGATACGATCATGTGCGTTTGTTCAATTTCTAATTTCTTTCCTTATCCAAATTTGGTTATGATAATTTAATGTTATCTATATATGGTTTATCATAGTTTCCGACCCAAAAAGAATAATTAGTTTACAAACCTTTACTAGATGTCAGATTTATTCCATAATGCACATTCCATTGGTACCTATACTATAATAGTTTGTGGCCAAACTTTCAGGTTGACAACTACAGCTCTTTACTCTGATAGCCCAAACTTTTTCACTGAAGTGTTCTCTTCTCATTTAGAAGAGTCGCGTACAAAGATAATGTTTATTGATGATAGAGACCCAGAGATATTTAAGGATATCGTGAGTGGTAATCTAATGTCATATATTGCGAGTTTAAGCCTTTATTACATATTATAAAGGGAAATTCTCAGAACTTATTTTACTTGTTGAAATAGGTAAAGCATTTGCGGGGTTATTATATAACTCCTCGTGATGAGGTAGATTTTCTTACTATTTTAACCAAAAATTTTAATTTCTACGTGACTAATTTCATCAAAAAAATTTTGTTTTATTATATGTTTGAATGGTTGTTAGATTCATTATACAGACCTTTTTACCGATGCAAATTATTACAATTTATCGAAATTAAAAACACAATTACGATCGAACTATATTGTCAATGTTGGAGGAAAAGTTTTTCGAGTAGAAAGGGAGATTTTAGAAAAGCGTGACGCACCAAATTTCTTTACTTCTTTTGGTTAATATCATTCAAAATTTGAATTATCATCGTTATTTTTTTTATTTTTTTTCTGATAAAAAAACCGTGTCAATTAAATTTTATTCAGGTTTTGGATATGGATGGGAACCATCAGGAATGCCGCCCATCCCTTTGCCACCATCAATGCCACCACCTATACTTGATCGTGATCCAGAATTATTTTCTGATATCTTACGATATCTTCAAGGTTATGAGATTGGGATTAAAGATGAAGTTCATAGACAAAATTTACTCAAAGATTCGCGATTTTACCATTTAAAAGGGTTAACTGAAAAGCTATTGGCATCTAGTATGACGGTGAATGGATTCGCCAAAGATGATAGCGCGAAAAATGAGATATTGTTTCGATTAAAAGATATTAGACATGCAAGCGTTTTATTACTAGAGAATAATAATGGTGATATTATGATATCAGATGAAAGCAGCTTTATTTCCACGGGATCATCCACAAGTCACGTCATGTATAAAAATAAAGAAGGGGCCGTTTATGTGTTATTAGTTGAGGTACATAATGTTAATCTAATTTGTAGATATGGGGCTCCTTCATCTCCGTATACAGCAACAACCACACCAATTACGAATCCTGCCACACCTGTACATTTGTCGAGAATGTTGTCATTGCGACCAACTTTGGAGCTGTCCCTATCTGATAAGGACATGAAAAAACTTAAAAACATTGCAAAATCTATTAAAGCCTCGGAAGAAATCGTTACAACCATTCAATCACCGGATACTTGTGCATTTGAAATTGATAACAATAAGTGTGCTTTAGATGCGTTATCAAATACCGAAAAGTTATTACACTTGATGAAAACTGATCATTATGGTGGTAGATATTTAACGCTTTACGTTACAAGAGCCATATTAAGGTTACTCGTTAAGAATGGAAAGATTGAAATGGAAATGCTTAAATGCGAAGCCTTTAGCTCAGAGAGAGGATTTAATTATAAAAGAGAATTTTTGCCGGATGAAAAGAGCATAGCATTATAAAATTTTCTAACAAGCGACAAACGCGAATGTCTCACCAACGGCATCTTAAATTATTGTTACATCATAAATAAACAAGTATAACTATTATTGAATTTCATCATATTGACAAATCTTCATCGGGATCCTCATCATCAAAATCATCGTCTTTATCAGGCTCATAAAATATATTTCCACCGGTAACAGTACTCTCCCTCTCCTGATTGTTTTCTTTATATTGATTTTTAAAAGGGATTTTGAAATTCAATAAAATTCAGGAATTGAAAATCTTTAATATTAATATAATAATAATAATAATATGTATTTACCTTGTATCTTAACATATGGAAGAACGAGTTCATTTTTTGCTTTTTTCTGTGACTCGGTTAATGATAAATTAAATAACAAATTCGCGGTAGTTGGATCCGGCTGATAAATGTAAAATATTATCAATAACAAGTAAATCTCTTTAAGGTATGTTTAAATTATTACACTTACTGTATTATCCTCAGGTTCTGCATCATCTTTTATGTCTTTGACTAATTGAATTACAATATTACCGGAAGATTCGGTAATATTATATGAATTAATCTAGAAAAACACCTCCATTAATAATTCTTTCCGTCTCTTTTTTTAAAACTCATCATAATTCTTTCTCCCTCCTTTTTGAAATTGATTTTACCTCATATAACACTCTTCCAGATTTTTTTCTGTGTTCTATAGTACAAATAGAACCTTCGGGAGAATTCATAAACGCGTTAATCATCGCGTGATTTTCCGTTGTGATATAACCACGCGAAGTGCGAAATTGTTCAATATTTTTAATTATGATTGTAGTAGATGCTATGTGATATAACAAGGTGTTTCTTACGTTAAGATAACCCGATATTCCGGAGGTAGGGTAATTTGGTATATCAGAATGGTATACCGTTATCACACGATTAATATTTGTGTCTTTTAATAAGGGATATTTATTTAGATCTTTTATTATTATTCACTAACAAAGACTGAATGAGAAATTGAAATAAAGCCGTACCTGACATTGATGATATACTTTGTAGAAAATTAAACGTTAATGAAGTAGAAATTAAAAGCAGAGGCGAGATCGAATCGATTATTATGGTGTAATTAGATGATGACACTAAATCAAAAGAAACATATAAGATGAATGATTCAAAGAAAAGAATTAAAGGAAATTTCTAATTAAATCATACATTTATGAATGGTATCTTTAATTATGTTTGTAATTTCAGACAAATCATTAAAATTTTTTATGAAATTATAATTATCACATAAATCAGTAAGGGTGATATCATCCTCAAGGTCATACGCTTCAGATTTAGAATATGCGTCAAATATTTCTATGCTGTTTAATTAAAATATATTACTATTCAGATAAATGATCAATTCACACATTTGAATTGAAATGTCAAATACTTTTGCTGTGGGTTGATATTTTCCAGGAGCCATTTGGGAGATATTTCAAAACATAATAGTACAACCCGATGATTTCTATCGAAAAGAAAATTGGTTTGTATGATTATAATAATGGGACATAATTTTTTTAAAAAAAACGTACTGGTTTATTGCGACCTTTTTGATAAATTCTTTCAATAGTATATACCCGGACTGCGAAATGGTATCTTCTATGATAATAAATTTTGTGGATTCTTTGCAATTTAAAAGACGTTCTAACAAAGGTGTGGTCATTTTTTAAGAAAAATGAGGAGGAAATAATTTTTTCTTGATAATTGGGTTACGCAAATTATAAATCTATCACGTGATATATGCAACATTTGCAACGTTACAGATGTAAAGAAATAATTGAAAAAACCTTGATTTTAAAATTATTGATGGCAGATAATTTTACGATTTCAACTGAACATGAGTTTATCGAACCGATTAAACGAATAAATAATCAAGCTGATGTTGACAAATGGGTACTTTCTGAAGCCTTTGTAAGACTAATGAAATTCATCGAATCTTTAAATGAAAGTGTCATAAATCATGAGAATCCTAAACCTTGTCACGTCTCAGAGGTAAGTGTATAGCAAAAAAAAGATGAATGAATGAAAGATTTATTTTCATTTCAAAGGTAAAGTAATTGATTTTGACATATTATAGATGACACAAAAAGTGATCAATTTATTAGAAACATTGTTGTCATGGATCGACGAAATTCCACCTTTACCCACACCTCAAAGGTTTGGTAACAAGGCATATCGCACATGGGTTACTCGCTTGGAGCAGGTAGAGCAATGATAAAAGACGTAATGATTGAAGTTTAAAAGTTTACAAAATTTTTATAATGACCCTTTATTCATGATAGAAAGCAATTCGATTGCATCAAGATATATTACCTACGCATTTACATGGTGCCATTATTGAACTAGTTCCATATTTTAATGGAGGATTCGGAAATGCTACAAGGATAGATTATGGAAGCGGACATGAATTAAGTTTTGTAACGTGGTTATGTTGTTTGAATTTAATAGGAGTATTCCGGCGAGAGGATTACACAGCGATCGTGATAAGGATATTCACAAAGTGATTATTTTAATTTATGATCAATTTTGAATTGATATAAATTAATTATTAGATATTTGTATTATTTATTATATGAATATTTATTTATGATCGTGATTAATTTTATAGATATTTAAATTTGGTAAGACGATTGCAACGGATATATATGCTTGAACCAGCTGGTAGTCATGGAGTTTGGGGATTGGATGATCATCAGTTCCTTTCTTATTATTGGGGAAGTGCACAATTAAGAGGTATATCATAAGATTTTTAATTTCCTAATTCAGAAGTTCTTAAATTAAAAACTTGTTAATGGTAAAACCTTGTTAGATCATCGAAATCTGAAACCAAAATCAATACTATCGGAAGATCTAGTTAATATGTATGCAGAAGAATACATTTACTTTGAATGTATTAAATACATACATGAGGTAATAATATCAATCATGATCATTAAACAAACAAACAAACAACAATAGTAATAATTACGTGATGTTTTTTTTTTGCTTTTTATCAGATTAAAAGAGGACCATTTCATGAACATTCGCCATTATTACATGAGATTTCAGGAGTGATAAGATGGACAAAGGTCAATTCAGGATTATTAAAAATGTACGTTGCAGATGTATTAAAAAAATTTCCTATAGTTCAACATTTTTTGTTTGGTAGTTTACTACCTTTCAAAGAATCTAATGAGATAATAGATACCAGAGATGGAGATAGTTTATAAATATCACGTCAAAATTAAAAATTATCTAAAAATAACAATGACCTGATCGGATGATCCCTTTTTTTGACGATCACACGTAAAAAAATAAAATGGGTTATCAAAAAGGAATTACAATTACAATACAATCAATTTTTTTATTTTATTTTATTATATTTTTTTTGAATTTTCGATAGAGCAATAAAACAACAATGAATCTTAATTAAGAAAATCCCTATTTTTTATTTTTTTTAAAAAAAAAAAAACTTAATTTAAAAATTTGTGGAGAATGAATAATGGATTTGTTTTAGATGATAATCAATTTGTTTGTTTACTAAAAAAAAAAAAATTCATTCGGAGATGTCCATAGAATTTTTATTTTTTGGTTGAACCGCAATGAATTTTCATTACCATATTTAACTTTCAATTATGTGTTGTCAGCGGTTTGGTAAGCAATTGTTTTTGAAAGTTTAATCAATCTATAAATATTTTTTTAATCTAAAAAAAAAGATTTATTAATACTGTTGTTCATTCATTGAACTTTCTCGTGTACCGATTCGGATGACTCGAATGGTTATCATGTGGAATTGGAATTTTCACACTTGTTTATTTACATCTGTAATTTAGGGGGTATAATCCCAGTGAGAATTATTTGAGGGATCCAACTATAACTTGCTGATTCCTTGATAATGTATTATGTAAATACACAAAGAGGGGAACAATCAAAGATTACTAAACTTAAATAGGGAAATAAGTAACTTGATCTGTGCGCATTTATTAGTTTAGAAAGAAAAGCGTGAAAATATTACCATCTAGATTTTTTAATTGAAATTCAAAGAATTGTAATTAGGAAAATGAGAAAAACAAGGAACAGTTTTATATTGAAGCAATTAAACCATGAATAGAAAACAAATCGATTCTTCCAAGGAGTATGATTGGCGAGGTATGGGTAAATTTTTTTTGGAGGGGTATTCATCCTCCTTAAATTTGATATGTTTTAAAACAACATGCGATGAAGAATTGGTCTATTATTCTTTTTTTTTTTTTTTTTAATAAAGACCAATTGAAGTAACTTTGATTCTTAAAATGGTTCGGCACTGACCGTACGGGGGGTTTTTTTTTTGATTAAAAAAAAAAAGAGTTGCAAAAAATATTATTAGATAATACTATTAGTTAATGTTAATGGGGTGGAGGTAAAGGAAAAAGGGTACTTCAAGATCTTCCAATCAGCCAATCAACCAATATTATTAAATATGTGAACTATAATTTCTCACACCAACCTACTAAATATACATTGATTGATGGAGTCCAATTAAAGTTTTTTAAAATTGTGGGGGAATTTCTTCAATGAGCCGTGTAACACAGCAATTTCCGAAAAAAATCCCAACCTTACTTTATCTATATTAATTTGGTTAGTTTATATTTTTTTAAAAAAAAAAGGTATTATATTTCCTAATTGTCACTAACCCCAAAAACTTATATGAAAAAATGGGCTGTGTAAATCTTCATATACACGAAATGATTACAATTACATGAAGAAAAAATACGCCAGTAGAATAATAAGGATGATCTTTTGTATCAATCATTTCCCAACCTTTTTTTCCCCCTTCTAGACTTTTGCTTTTTTATTTCATTAATTCAAAGAATATCCTTCTAGTAGAATAGGGGGTGAAACAGCGATCGGATCTTTTATAAATTACTCTTTATGATCACCACGTGATCAGCTAGCAGAATATTCTTTTTACCATCAATAGAGAATAAAATGGGACTCTGATGCTGTGTCACGTCGTCCCTTGATTATAAAATTTTGACAGGGCACAGTATATGCATATTCCTCTACATGGATAAACTTCATATTAGGCGTAACCAGTTCAACCATCATCAGATTTTCGAGAATTATCATTTCGGCGGAGAAATTTACATCCACGGTATTGTGCGAAGATTGTTAAAACGCATTGTGAATGAGCCCTCAAATCGCATCCCACCTGCAGGAAAAAAATGCTTTCAATCTCTTTACCATTTGGTATTGTTTGAAAAAGTGATACGATGATCACACGTTCCAACGAAAAGTGATGCTTTTTCGGCTAAATATATATATGTGTATATTATATATATATTTGTAACGTGGTTTCAAAAATGCCTTTGTTCTTTTGCCATTCGGGGGACGCGCGTATACTGATTTGGTTATACGTTGACATTTTTTAAATGTGATTATTACGCAATTCGCATGTTAGCTAATTCAACTTTATGTGCTATCAAATATCTAGTGATTGTGATTTTACCAAATTTCAGAACATAACTTGGGTCATAACTTGGCAAAAAAAAAAAAAAAAAAAAAAGGCGAAACATTCGCGTATCGTGAATACATTAAGGATCTTTTGATTCGTTTGAAATTTGTGTTCGCATACAAATTCTCATAAACAAATTTTTATGCGTGCAACCGAAATCATGAAAACCTTTTAAGAAACCGTTGTTTCTATTCCTGAATTGTCATACAAGAAGGCATTTTGAATTGGTCAATTTATTGGTGTTTTTTAATTACAAATCAAAAAAAATACCTAATACAAAGAAAGGAATGTTTGAGAAAATCATTCAAAATGAATGAACAAAAGAAGCAGGCATAAACCTGTTATACCTGTTATCATGTATTTCATTTCATTTGTTTGTATCAATATAAGACTTGAATATATATATAAAAAGTTACCATTGATTTATTTAGTCGGATTTACTTTATTTTAAAATTTCACGTTTTTTTTTTTCCTAAATCATTAAATCATGTAATAGATTAATTTTAAGGATTCAGAAAAAAGCGCGTTTTTATATGACAGAATAAACTATTCCAAAATCATTTTCCCCGAATTCTGACGTGATTCCTCATCCGTGCCACCTTTTATTTTGTTTAGATCTAATAAAGTAATAAATTTGAAGTTTTTGACTCGTTCATTCAAGATCATTTTTTTTCCAATTAAGTGATAACAGATCAACAAATCCAGAACACGTTTTCTAGCCGATTGTTTATTTTTCCCTTTTTTTTTAATTTCCCTCATTTTTCATAAATACTTTAATACATTGCATTTAATTTGATTTTTCCGAAAATTAACAAGTTTGAAATCAAGGAAATTCAAAAAAAAAAAAAAAAAAAAAAAAGGTAAGTAAAAAAGGAAGGAGACTTCCGTCAAAAGATGGATATGAGTTCAGGTGACACAAATGTAGACCAATGATCACTTATAAATCCCATTGTATATCTTGTACCACCTGACCTTTATTAACTGTAAAGAATTTATCACCTCATTTTTTCCTTTCTTTGGAATTCACCATTCATACGGTCGAATTCCATACATTTTTGGACTTTTGATCTTATAAGCCGCAAAAGTTGACAACAAATTTTCGCCCTTCGAATTAGCCTTTCACAAACAAAAAATCTTTTAGTAGCATTGTAGTCATGAGAGCAACCTCTGATTTTTATTTCATAAACCGA